TGATGCCGCACTTCTCAGACACGGTTGTACCGTTGGTTATATGTGTATGATAATGCAAAATGCCAATTTGTATTTTTTTGTTTTGCGACGACTGAATCATACTTTAATATTCGTGAAGGAAGAACATTCATCTGTTAAGTTTTATTTACTTGTTAATTTCATGCATTAGGTACAGTCGAGACTGGACATCTAAAAAGTACCCTAACTCCTTCTGTCCTTTACTCCGCGACCACGGAATGGACCATTGACTATTTGGGCTGTATCAATAGTCAAAGAATTAACTAAAATAATCTCTCCAAAGTATCTATTCGTAGTAAAGGCCATTCCAAATGGATCATAAAGGCTGACACGATCCCAGTCGACGTTCCAGTTGAGGTTGCCAGTCACTGGATGACAGTGACTAGCTCTGTGTAAACAAGTCCTGCCAGTCACTGGAGTAGAGGTTGTGGCATTATCACTTAGATAAAATCCATTGGTGATTTGTTGGGATGTGAACCCGGGACCTTAGGAACTGAAGTCCTGCGCTCTAACCACTACACCAGCCCGCTGGCAGACCCAGTAGAACAAATATTTTTTTACAACATGACGCCCTCTAATTATTCCCCAAAGTCCTCTTATCTATCCAATCTCGTATCCAGGCTTCTCTTTCTTTATTCGTCAACTCGTGGGTACATATTTCTCAAAGTTCATGACACAAAAGTTAGATATTGAAGGCACTGCTTTTTAATGGTAATTTTTTGTAACGTTTCAGCCATGTTTTTGTTCACTACAGTAAATAGACAACAATCATCCGCATAAACATGAAAAAGCGCTATCATATTCCAGTTGCTGTCAACGTGTAAACGGTTAAGTGCCAGTAAGTCGGCATTCCAGTCACCCCTTTCCAGTGACCTTCCAGTCATATCTCAACTGGAATGCCAGCCACTGGCAACGTGTAAATGAGCCTTTTAAGATGAAACGCTTTGCCAGTAGATGAATCCCTTTCTTCCGCCACACTTTATGTTTCCAAAAATAAGTCTATACATTGAATTTTGTCTAGGTGTTTCCTATCCAACCCATGTTAAACCTCCGATTAGACATCTCCTGCAGAATTTTGAATGGGCCTATAGGTATCCTTAGTCCTTTTGTGAATTTCTGAAATTCTTTATTTAAATTGCCTAGGCATGTTTTTTAGAACTTTGGCGTTTCCATATTAGACCTAGTTATTTATTACGTGTCTGTAATTAATTGACCAAACAAATAAGAAGGCTTTGCTGATATTGTACAAGTTCAAGTTACTGGTGAAGCTGATCAACAAACCTAAGAGTAGGTCTACCTTCCTCCTCTCACAAAACCTACAAACTAAACATATCTCTGTTCCAGGCCTAGACAATTTTTTAGGTCGCCCTGGTTAGGCAGCAATGTTCGTTGTTAACAATTTAAATATTTTTTGTCTTACTCTTGGTACACAGGCCAAATTAATTTAATAGAAATTTTCTTGATTAGGCTGTTGTGAGCTATTGCTCTTGCGAGGTCACCAATTCAGACTCCAAGTAACAACATTGTAAAATTGCATGTACCTAAAGATTTCCTCGCGCGTGCGTGTGCACAAGAGGATGTGAAATATTTAGCATGATGTTGCATGAAATAAAGGTTTTTGAATTTAATTGAACTCTGTTAACCTCATAAGGTTGTCCTATCGCGGATCAATAGCGCAGGAAGCGTTGTCCAATGTCCCTTGCCAGTGATTATTAGGCCTACCCTATGCAGTGTGCTTGAACACAGTTTCCATTGATAAAATTGTTAATGGCAAACGATTGACAACTGAAGTTTGTTGATGTCTGATAATCGATCTCTAGCAATCTACAACGAGCAGATTGGTGATCATCGTGGGCTTAGGTAGTTCTTGAAAACCGGTGTTTTGAGATAGATTTGGATGGTACATGGGAATGTTTAGTACTTTTGATCGGCATTTAGCCTAAGGGGCAATATTTAAAACTACACAACTATCGGTAACCTCCTTCAGCTTCCGAGCTCTTGATTTTTAAAATAAATTTATTGTAATATTATAGTGTTTTGTCAAAATGGTAATTGGTATTATGGTGAAACCTAAAGAGAAATTGTCTGCCCCCACTAAGAACTCCTATTTCAAATACTGTACAAAGAAAACACCAAGCACTTTTCAACTTTCAAACCCAAGTAGCAATTTAATCCCACCCTTTAATACTCCTAAAAGTGTTGGAAAAAAGATTTGAAATTTTCTTGGAGGAAACGCCTAATTAAGCCTAAAAGTCGCGAAAGGCTGGAAATTATATTTTTTTAAGAGCGTGTTATTTTTTATTCTTTGTATTTATTAGTCCATTAAGCTCTAGATCAATAATACTAATCACGGTAAATTAGTTTACTCCATAGGATCTTCAAACTAATTTTGAAAAAGAAAAACTGTATTTTCTTATTATTTGGACCATTTTGAACATTTTTTTCTTCTGGGGCCTTTGGGCAAACGCCTATTTTACTCCACCCTGAAAATTGCGGTTGAAAATAGCGAAAAAATCTTGAAAATCATTTTTTTGGACAAGAATGATTTTTTTTAGTTTTTATGTTTTTTTCTTATGATTTAGGCCATTGTAAACATTTTTTTTCGGGAAATGTCGTTTTTTACTCCTGAATGGTTTGAAATTCTCAAAGTACCCTATAATTGACCGGTTTTCGGGTAAACCTGGTAATTCTTTGTCCATATGGTAAAGGTAAATACCAATAATATTAATCACTAAGACTATTAGGTAACCTAAACAAACCAGCCTAACCTACTGTGCCGGCCGCACAATTTTTATTTCAGCTGCAGTTTTTAGATCAGGACGAAATGAGAGCATTCTATTGGCTGTCATGGCGTGACGTCACTCTCTTTTCTTAAGGGAACACCATTACCACAACGATACGAAGTTTAGCCAATCGGTGTTCGAGTGCTGGTGTAGTGGTTAGTGTAGTGCACACGGCTGATGTTCAAGAGGCTACCAGTTACCACTGATACCAGATCGATTCCCACTGGTGACACGTTCTTTTTGTCAAATATTTGGCTTAGAATGCGATTACTTCTTAACTTTTAATCTTTTGTTAGAATTTGAGGCATTTGCAATTTTGTTTTATGAACAGAACTACTTTTTCGATTATAAAACCTTCATCCGATTTTTTTTCATTATCAGCAAGTTTTGTTAGTTAGGGTAGGTTATGACGGTTTAATTTTATAAAGATAAAGATAAAAATATTGATTTTTAAAATTCAACTGAGTCAACAAACAACAATGAAAGACGTCTCTCAACCCTCAAGAGAAGAAAATGACGTCACGCAATGACAGCGAATAGAATGCTCTCATTTTGTCCGTACCAAAAAACCGCAGCTGAAATAAAAGATATTCATTTACCCCCGGAATTTTACCCCCTGGCCAGAAATAGTAATTGGGGACTATAATTAATTTTGTGCAGAATATGTGTTTTTAGAGAAAGACGTTAAACAGTTAACTATTATTTACCACTGTTTATATTAGATTTGTAGGCAATATCAACCTGGCTATCATTGTATCATCCTAGGCTTTGTCCCTAAATTTTCAAAGTGGAATAGGGCTGCACTTTAGTTTACGTCCTACACTCGTTCGAATGAATATATCGATTATTTAGTTCGATATATGAAGTTTGGTTAGTTAGGTTAACCCAACCTAACTAACCGAATGATAATCGATATATCGAATAATCTATATATCGATATTTTTCATTTGAATGAGTGTAGGACGTATACATAATAAAGTGCAGCCCACGAATACGTGGTGCAGCCCATTATTGTTATAAACGGAGTTCCCGTAGTTACTATACTCGATTTAAAAACCCCCTATAATACTGCAATTAATTAGATAAATGTTTTGCAACGAAGTTTTATCAAAAATATTTTTAACTATGCAACCTAAACAGTTTTTGATTATTCATTTACATAATTGGAGCCGTTTGAATAGTTTGGCAATTTATTAAGTTTTAAGTTATGACTTTATAAACGCATTGTTAGGAAACCGCGGCAGACGACAACATTATCACTAATCAGGCGTTAGCGCTTGCGACTTGCGATTCGTGCTGGCGTTGCCGCCACCGCCACCCGCACCCGCCATGGCACCCGAGTCCCGCCAGAAAGTTTGTCTAACTAGAATCTAGATATTAGGTTATGAATGTTGGTTGATTGCTAGAGTACATCTATTATTCTTTTAGAAAACCTCGGTATATATGTTATTTAAGTAACGGGAAAGACCCTTTCTCAACCATTACTAATGCAATTAAAGGTTTGTATTGTATTATTGGAAACATCATCTGCTTGAGATAGGCTTAAAGCTTTGTGTACTAACTAGGACTAGGCTATCCTAAAGAAATAGGCTAAAACACCTCCTCCTATGTTGTAATAAATACCTACTGCATTTTGGGGTACAGTTTCTTGCTAGATATGCATTCAAACAAACACTCTTGATATTTAGGCCCTAACTTATAGCCTTGTAAACTAGTTTTAAGATAGGGCCTAACTGGTTTTTGTAACCCGGGTAAAGGTCGATTCACACACATCAGTTACGGCGTCACAGTACAGGCACGTCACAGTTAACAAAAATATTCTTCAATGGATTTTCTATTGCGCTATCAACACTCATCCGTTGCAGTTCCGTCAGTGGCTCTGCCGGCGTCTATCAGTCAATTTCAAATTTCTTTCCAACGATATTTTTGGATTATTCGGACGCCTGACGGACTTGTTTGAGGTTAGAAAATAGTGTTTTTGTTGTTTAAATGATTGTGTTTATATTATGAGTACTGGTTGTAACAATTAACAAGATGGACAATGATAATTTGATAGAATATAGGTTTATAATTTAATAATGTTGTGTGTAAATTACTGTAAATTTTAGAGACGGAAGACTGACTGAAACCAACTGACGGGCAGTAAGTCTCACACGTATAATGCTTTTATCAATGGTACCGGTACTCTGATAATTTCAGGAAACCAAAGAGATGGGGTCTAGAATGAAGAGCAACGGTGTGGGTCGCCGGAAGGACGGAGACGTGTCGTTAAACATGGAGTGTGGAGACGAGGACTTGTCGGAAGCTCAGCTATCCGCCTACAACAAGGCGATGATACAGTACAGAGAGACAACCAATAGCATTGATAACCTGCTGCGCGCCGGCGTCATCGACATCACAGAGCGAGGACAGGACTACATCTCCATTGAGTTTAAGGAAGGGTGAGTCGAAATTATTCATAGAAAAATATCTGATAGGCAAACTTTTTGGAATAAAGTGTACCAATACATAAGGGATTAGGCCCTACTTGATCGTTTTATTGAGGTAGAACATAACTTGTGCACATATAACTGCAAATATGAATGCCTAACTACCAATTAAAGCAAACAAAAGGACCATAAGAAGAAAGGTTTATTCAATATGTTTATAATAAATTCAATTTGCAACCTGTAAATGTGTTTTAGTCTGAATGGCGTGAACGGCACCAAAGTGAAGCCCCCGGTGATGCCGACCAGTGGACCCAGACCAGCCGGCACCCCATTGCTGCTGTCGGTGAGTGGTTAGGTCAAAATTTCAAAAAATCAAGAAACTATAACTTAAAACATCCTATATAGATTTTTTTTTAAATATAGGAACCTCCAGAATATATATATATATATATATATATTCTGCTATACATAGGACTATAGATTTTTTAATATGAACCGGTTTTTTCTCAAAGAATCTGAATCAATTACCTGACAGATTTTCAAGATCCTTCTGTTTGAAGGAAAGATAATGTTTAGAAGATGGGAATGTTGATGTCATAATTTTAATTTTTGTATTCAGTTTCTAAGTTTACTTTCAACTTCAAAAAAGTCTTAAAATAGCTGATAATACCATTTTAAGTTTGTTTCAGTGTAATACGAATTGGTTTTGTTAATGCAGGGGTTTTGATTAAAAAAGAAAAAGAATATCTAGCCTAGTTAAATGAGCCTATATGAAGAAAGTTTTCTTTTCTTCCTAAATTTGAAATTCTTTGATAGATCAGCTGTTTAAAAAATAATTCTTTCTGCAAACTGTCACTGAAATGTTTACATTACAATTGATTATACTTTTAACTTATATAAGTTACTTAATTTAGTTTCATCCTACTGTAGAATATTATTTTCTTTTTTCAGAAAATGTGTCATTTTTAACTATAAACTTGTCTTAATTGTTTACTTCTGATAAAGTTTTGTCAAACATATTATCTGTGTGGTTATAAGTTTATGTACCGGTAATGCAAATTTGAAGCCATGTTAGGGAGATTTTTTTTGCAAACTATCGCTAAATTGTTTATTATTAGCAGTTTACATGTTGATAGTTTCTATATTTGAATGTCTCTATGTTCTAATACTAGGCTATATTGTTGGTTGACTTACTTATTTCCCGTTATATTCTCTGGAAGCATAGTGTGTCCTATAAAGTCACATGTACTGTCATCAATTATTGATCCACAACAATTGTAACACGTAGACACAAACTGTTAAATACAAATAGTTTAAAATGACTGTTCGAAATGATTGGACGTGCGGGTGTTGATAATCGGGTGGTGTTCCATAGAACGCTGGCGTACCCCAGCCGGGTGGAACGTACCAGCTGGTCATGGATCCACGAGGAACGATCTACTTCGGGTCCAATCCTAGCGTTACCCCCACCTCTTCACCAGGCTCAGGTATCAGCTATCGTCTTGTTATTGTATGCATGCTGTCCTTTCTGCTACGTTTGAATATTCCTTATTTGGTTCAGTCCATTACATTTCTGCAGTTTTGTTTAAACTTTGTATTATTTTAGTAACGCCACAGTGGTTATGCTTGGGAAGTTTAAATATATCTTATACAGAGAATAGGCATTTTTTATAGGCCAAGTGTTGGAGTTTGTTTAGATTCTTAGTACCGTACTTGAGAGTTTTGTATGATATACAGGAAATAGTTTCCTAGTCTTTCAGAATCAGCATTGATCTAATAAAAGATATTATTTTCTTCAATTTCATAATCTTGAGTAAGCTTTAAGGCAATCTTTATGCTACTCGATTTAATTGTATTAATGCATGACATTTTAAATAAAAACTTTTATTCATTAGGCCTATGTTTACATGGTTAATATTGCTTTCTTGGTTAATATTGCCTTTGTCTTCAGATGTATCTTTTACAATCCAGTCTTGTACATTGTGTGTTAGAAGAAAATGATTTTGTGGTCTGTTTGTAATTTTGTTACTTGAAGCTTTTTAAAATGCTAATTTGCTTGAATACCATTGAGTGGCTACTATTGTCTTACAGTACCCGTTGTGGCAGGAGTGATTCCTCCCAATGTTCCGGTGGCCGCAGCGATCTCTCCGCCTGCGGTGAGTTGAGTGATGAGATGATTATGGTGGTGAGGGTGTAGGAGAGGATAAGGCAATGTTATTGACTGGGTAATTAGGCCTTATTGCAAGACCGCAAAGTGTTTCGATGCCAGTTTTTCACCCCAATGACCTTGTTAAACCACAGTTGCCATTCTTTAATTGTAAACAAATTCTGACTCTCCTACAACACAACAATTCCTACAATTCTGTTATGGTAATTTTTGTCCCAAGGGGTATGCAGGAAGGGAATTCGTTTACCTTGGTGTCTGGGCGTTATCCTGCTTGTTCAACATCCAGTCGATCTAGTGACCGATTTGTATTGTAACATGTCTAGTCAAATTGGCCGTTTGAAATGTCTGTCTTGTTTGAAAATCCTGTGAACCGTGAAGTACGTTCAGTAATAAGATTTTTGACTGTAAAATACTGTATAGGCCTACTGATTGAAATCTATAATCTTTATGAAGTGTGTGGGAACAACAGATTATAGCCTATTGTTATTCAAGTTACTAAGAGAAACATTTAACAAAAGTTTGCACAAAGAATGTTCTGTGCTCAAAAATTTGTGTATAGTGTAAAGTTTTTGTTTTCCTCGTTCCAAAGTGAATCCCAAAAGTCCCAAGAATAAAAACCTAGGCCTTCGTGTCTTATGTTACATCCTTGAATTGGATGTTTGTTATTTTATGAATAATTTGTGAGTTTTATGGTAACTCCATGTGGCGAATCAATATTGATCTGGTGGATGTTTTTATAGGTAATGAGGCCAGTTGTTCCTGCCACCGCAGTGCGGGCAGCCACTCCCAGAACTACCAGACCAGCTGCCCCTCGGGCTACCACCCCTGCGCTTGTACCCCTCTCAAGTAGTAAGTTTCATCTTTCCCTATTGATAGAACTATTTACATGCCTTCCCCATGTTAAATTTGTCAATGTTATGAATCAAAACGGATGTGTGTGATTTAAACCACCAATAGAGTGAGCCACCAGGAAAGTTAGCTACTGACGGAATGAGCCACTGACAGAGTGAGTTACTGACAGAGTGAGCCACTGACAGAGTGAGTTACTGACAGAGTGAGCTACTGACAGAGTGAGCTACTGACGGAGTGAGCTACTGACGGACTGAGCCACTGACAGAGTGAGTTACTGACAGAGTGAGCTACTGACAGGGTGAGCTACTGACGGAGTGAGCTACTGACGGACTGAGCCACTGACAGAGTGAGTTACTGACAGAGTGAGCTACTGACAGAGTGAGCTACTGACAGAGTGAGCAACTGACGGAATGAGCCACTGACAGAGTGAGTTACTGACAGAGTGAGCTACTGACGGAGTGAGCTACTGACGGACTGAGCCACTGACAGATTTAGCTACTGACGGACTGAGCTATTGACAGAGTGAGCTGCTGGCAGAGTGAGCTGCTGACAGACTGAGCCACTGACAGAGTTAGCTACTGACGGACTGAGCTACTGACAGACTAAGCCACTGACTAACTGAGCCACCGACAGAATGAGTCACAGAAAGACTGAGCCACTGACTGACGTCGCCAACCAAATATGTAGACCATCTCTGAAACCAACAATAATTAGTAATAATTTATTACCAAAGTAATAATTAGCATCTCAGACTGTATGAGCATTTATACTTTTTCCTCTTACAAGTTGTGTTTCTGACCTCTGATGTTTGTTTTTCAGTGGTGAACAAGAACAATCCGAAGGGCACGTCAGCCGTGCGGATCAAACCCACGACTCAGACCAAAGCCAACGAGGCGACCAGTGTCGGAGGAATTGTGCAGAGCAAACCTTCAACTTCTGCAGCATCCGCTAGCAAGTGTAAGTCATTTCATTCAAGTGCGGGTCTTCTGTCTTAAGGACTCTGGTTTAAATTTTATCAATCGCCAATGGCTTTCTGGCTTTTATCTACGTGATAATGCTGAGAACCAAGGAGCTTGCTCTTTATGTTAAGAAGCTGTGAGTTTTTTCTTTTTTTATTCTTTTTTTTTCCAAGAGGATCAAGGCTTATAAGTAGACCATGGGATTGCATAGTAGTTGAAACAGCTTATTGTGCACCCTCATTAACAGGTCCTCAATCTCCGTCAAATCCCAGGTTCTTTGTGAACCATGAGACTTTCATGACAATGGTTTCCTGTTCTTCCATTTGATCACCAATAGATAGGCCAAGGGATCTTACACACAGACCTTGTTGGGCTGGGCACATAAATACGTTTGTCAACACTAGGCCTAAGTTTTGCAAGACCTATACAAAAGTTAATTAATATGTTTCAAAATCATATTTACTGCAGTTATCCTAGTTACTATCTTGATCTTTATTAGGCCTACTTAGCCTACTTTTGCATGCTCTAACATATAATTCATTAAAAGTAGGCTACACTTATTTGAAGTCAGTATGAGTACAGTCTAAACTTATTGTAGTGTAATGCTCTTTCATCCTGTTTCACCTTGATATAATCATCAAATCATTCAATTGTCAAGTGAAAATTTCTGTCCCACTGATTTCTTAATTAATCTATATTTTGTAGCTGGGTCAGCCATGGTGGTTGACTTGACGGACGAGGACAGTAGGAACGTCAACCCTGTAGCGGACAGCAAGGAGGTGCAGTTTAACAAGCTGAGTGGCAAAACATACCCCTCGCTGGTCGTAGTGGCTCGACCTAACCTCAGGGTCAAGGAGATCTCTCAGGTTACCACTACGAGTGAGCGCAACTCTTTAGGTAATTTCACAACCATTCCCTCGGTTAACTAGCAAAATACGATCTCAAATATTCTACCCAAACTGGCCGCAGGAAGTGCTGATATATGGACAGGATGGATGGAAACAATCAAATCGTTGTGAAAGTGTTTGGAATTAAATTTGTGTATCAGTGTTTGATATGAATATTAAATCTTTTCCAAAGTTTTGGTGGTTTTGACACATCACTACTATCTATTAGCCCCTGTAATCTATTTTACCATGTAAGCTAGCTAAACTCTACCTACTTTCCAAATGTCAATCATTTAGCTTTCCTTATATCACTTTTCACAAGTAATTCATGAGTTGGTCGGCAGATGCCAAGATGAAGGCTGTACTGATGGGAACGCCGACCAAGTTCACCGAGTGGCTGATTCAACAAGGTCTGGTGCGCAGTGAGCAGCATTGTTCCGTTCACGTCAACTCTGACATGACTCCCATCAAGCTCAAGCTCGGCATGTACTCCGATGTGTCCAAGTTCCCGTACAGCGGCGGCTACGTGTGGATCAGCGAGTGCTGCCCTACACGTTTTGTGTCGGTGAGTTTCAAGATTGTATTAGGGTGTTCAGTAATATGAAATCAGACAAGTCACTATTACGAGTGAATAAATAAGAGCATGCTAATTCTCATGACTCTCATGAGCTAGTTTAGTAGTTGAGGGCGCGACTTCGTTACCTGAGGTCCTCAGTTCAAATCCTGCGAAACATCCAGTACACATATTGTTGATTGTAGTTGACAATAAGTATTATATAAAATAAATGAATATTTATTATTTAATTTAACCTCATGCTACAGTATAAATGTATAAGGTATCTGGTCTACATTATCGACAGAATAGCTTTTATTGTTGGTTGACTTATAAATTAAAATTTGATGTTTAAAAGGATATAGTTTAAAGATAAATTTCTTTTAAATATAAAATGTTGGGTTAAAGTGACTCCAAATGGAACTCCCTACGGCTATGCGACATTCCTAGACAAAACCCTCAAACATCATTTCTGCCGTCAGGTGTTCAGCGGATCGATATTCGAAGGAGCCCCGCATGCGCCCACTGTCCTGGTGAAGCTACTGTACCATTGGGCTTGTCAAACCTCCGTCAACAATATTTCCCAGTGGGTGAAGGTCGACGGATTGTATGTTAAGAGCTTCTACACCAACATTCGCTCTGTGTGTACGGCAGCCGTGCATGACAAGTTCGAGAAACTCGGCGGACCGAAGAAAAGAGTGGAGGTAAGTGCAGTTGGGTTGTGAGGATGTAAGTGGTTGATTGAAAGCGTTTTGAATTTTAAATAGACATGTTAAAACGTAAAATTAAGATAAATGAATAGTTCAAGCAAGGAATACTTAATTATATTAACAAATAGGTTAATATTATAAATTCTTTCAGTAAATATCAACTTTTTTGATTTTTATGGAAAAATAGCATAACATTGTTTTGAACGCTCAGTATTTAATTTGTTTGAACCTGGTACTTTTGACTGAAGAGGGACATAGCGTCAAGGAAATAGTAAAACAGTAGTACAGACAGGTTATAAGTTGACATGTGTTCATTCTTGATACCACCGGTACTAGGACATTGCTGACATTGGTTTTAGTATCAAGAATCGATCTTCAACATTTTATTCCACCAAACAATTTTTTTTTAATAAAGAAAACTAGAGTTGTGAAACTTATTTTACTTCTTGACGTGATGTTTGACAGTTGGGTGTGATTAGTCTCGGAACCACCTCTCAAGATGGCAACATGAGGCAAGTGAAGGTTGAAGTGTTGGGAGTGTACGATCCAGAGTCTAAACTGATTCGTCTCAGAGCCGTGGAGCCTTTACAGGTTAGTTATTAGACTGTAGAGCCGCTATATGTGCTATAGTTCAGATTTAGTCTGATTTTTAAGATTGTTTCAAAGTCAATGTCAAATAATATTTATCCACGAGGAACATATAAATTCATATAGTCACTGAGCTAGATATTATTTCTTGAGGTAACACCAGTATTGATTTTGAGAGGGTTTATGTGAGTAGCCTGATCAATTCATGAGTCCCACTCTTCAGGCTGGCCACCTGTGTAAAACATTTTCCCTCACTCCCACAAAAATAGTATAGATTTTGACTACCGTATTTAAAATGTGGCGCTGGCTAGTAAGGTTGGTAGTAGTTTACTACGTAGTTTAGAGCAGAGTGAAAAATTGTTGATTAAAAGTTGTCTTAACGAAATACATGCAATTTAAAAAAAATTACTCATAGCCAGAGAGTATTAATGGACTAAACCCAAATCTAACTATAAAAAAGTTCCAAGCCATCACCTGTACACTAAAAAATTTCTGCCAACTTCCTAACTTACAGCCAGTGTGCATTAATTCACCACTTCCAAACCTAACCTAAAAAAATTCCCAAACCATTTTCAGTACACTATAAAATGTCCGGCACCAGCATAAAATCTCTCGAGAAATTCTACCTCCAGATATTTGTGAAGTCCATGATAGTTTCTAAAGGAGTTTGAGAAGGTAATCAATTGTTTATTCGCAGGACGGAGAACGTAATTACAAGCGGAGGTTCGTCAAGATCCTAGAGCCGCTGGAGGAGTGGGTACACAAGGAGTCCATCATTCTAACGGACTACACAGTGGACAAAGGCACTCTGCACCACATGGGCTATCAGAGTGTGTACCAGGTGTCCATGGCTGATCAACAAGGCACCAGTCCCAAGTATAGCAACACACAAGTGATGGACTACTTGCGCCGCATCGTCCCACGCATGTTCCAGGTCGGTAGGAAACAAAGTGATAAACTCAGTGCAGGCGTACATGAATAGGAAAGAGTTCACTCTGGCACAAGAAACACTATCAAAAGTTACTAAGTTAGAATATATTCAGTTGCTTTGAAATATTCTAATGTATGGTTTTTATATTTCTTGTGCGAGAGTGTTCTATCGAGAGTGTTGTTCGAGAGTTTCTTGTTCTATTGTTACATCAACCTCAATACTATTCAAGTGTAGGGTTTTTGGATATATTTTGTTATTTTAGTTTTATTTGTTTATTCATGGCTTAAAAGTTCATGAAGTAAAATCCACCGAGATTTACTGAAGAATCGCCTCAGTGGTAGGCTGACTATTTTTTTTTTATCATTCCAGAACACACTGTCGTTGCTGTCTCGTCAGATCATCCAACAATTCCTGGACGAGTTAGTGTGGCGAGAGAGATGGGGGACGATCGCAGCTCGGGCCTTTGAGATGATAGTGTCTCACCTCGCAGAACAAACTAAGCTGGATACAGGTAAGGTTTGAAACTGAAACCAGCTGGGTCAAGTGACCTAGGACAGGTGATCATTTTTTAAATAAAAACATTCATTTTAATTTCTTACATGTGTGTTATACATTCCTACTTAAATAAACATTACAAATGGTTTCTTAGATTGTGATTAATTTTCACAATTATCACAATATGCTCACAAGTGCAGCTGCTTTTGCGGTGTACAATCAAGAAATCGTTGAGAGAGCAAGATAGCTAAAAGTGTTGACCACGGTTGTGAGAGACGATCTCTTGATGGCCGTGACTGCAAGACCTGCTCTCAAGTGCTGCCATGGTATTGTTGTGATTGCAAGATATGCTCATGAGTATTGCCGCGATCACGAGGGACGGATCACAATTTCCCCGAGACTGTAAGATAACAATTAAAACAAAAACAAATCTAACAGTTGATGTATCTTCAATATTTTAAATAATGTAATTAGATACATCCCTTTAATTAAGGTTCCTACCCTTAGGAAGAAGGTTCTTAGAGGAGAGGTCTTAGGAAGAGGGGTCTTAGGAGAGGGTTTATCAAAAATTTAACATCAAGACTGTTCATTCAAGTATGTGGTTGATAGGTGTGCGTCTTATGGTTTTCTCAAAAACTTGTGATCCTTATTAGATTTATTTCAGCAAATATATTTCTATAAATAATATATTTTTAAGAGCTTTCTAACCTTACATGACATATTCCAGGCGATACGCTGATGACAAGGCTGAATAAAATAGCCGCAAACCCGTTCAAAAACTGGGCGTACAAAAACTGGCAATCCAACTGTGTTGCCGCACCCCAAATACCGACCAGACTGGTCGTCTCGGTAAGCATTAGTTGTTTGATTGATGTATTTCAATCTTCTGTTTCAATACTTTTTTTCAATACAATTGTTGTACATTTCATTGTTATAGTTTTGAAGTTTTCCAAAATTAAATAGCACTGTTATGTCCAAACTGTTAGATCCTGGGTTACTTTTCTTTTCTTGTAACATTACTAAACATTATGTCATACTTTTTACTTACACATTGTTTTTTTAATGTGTTAAGTCATATTTTGACCTATATAACACAATTTAAATAGTGATGTCATGTTACTCAAGTCTATTTACTGTATAACATAAACGAGTTGTTCAAGTGTAATAAAGAAACAAACAACACAAGGGACTAGGATTGTTTGTGAGGATAACAGGCTTACCTTAATGGGAAAGAGCCCAAACTAGCACAAGAGACACAAAACTTTACACTATACACAAAACATTAGAATATTTCACTTACGGCACTCAACCACAGAAAACGTACTACTATAACCCAGAATGCCAACCGCATGGTAAAAAGCATTAAGCGGTTTGAGAGAGCTTTGCCTGTCAATCCGTAGGCAGCGCCACCAGCGTTGCTATGCTATTGCATGGCAACGCAGGTGGCGCTGCCTACGGATTGACAGGCAAAGCTCTCTCAAACCGCTTAATGCTTTTTACCATGCGGTTGGCATTCTGGGTTATAGTAGTACGTAGCCATGCAATAGCATAGCAACGCTGGTGGCGCTGCCTACGGATTGACAGGCAAAGCTCTCTCAAACCGCTTAATGCTTTTTACCATGCGGTTGGCATTCTGGGTTATAGTAGTACATTTTCTGTGACTCAACTAAGGTAGATAAGAGAGAGTTATATCCAAAAGAGAAGAGAGAGACCAATATATTTTGGACCTGAAGACAACTTTCTCTTCCTTAGTTGAAAATGCTGTCAGTTAAATATTCAAATGTTTTGTGTAAAGTTTCGTGTCTCTATGGTTTAGACTCTTTCCCATTCAGGTAAGCCTGATGTCCTCAGAAAAAAATCTTCCACGAATATGTTCTGTAAAATTTTTCAATTCTATGCTATAAAACAGACTGATTGGTTATTAAATTAGAACTGGTTGTTGATTTTCCTGTTTTATAATTGAGTACAATTTGACTTAAATAAACCAAAATTACATAAAAAATACATGAATGACCTTGATTTGATTATGTTTCAGAATGAGGCATTGGGAAGCCAGACTGTCTCAGCTGGCAGCAATCTTCCTTCCATCGACAACCTTCCTCCTAGTTTGAGAAATGTAAGTTTTTTCCCAATATCCACTTTAACAAATTGTTTGAAATCATGAAAATATTAAATTTTCAATGTTAAATCTTAGTGCAAATCTTTATTAAATCATGTAAAGATCACATAATTGGACAACATTTTGAGCAGTTTACTGTTTCAATGTTAGTAGGCCTATTTCCCTTTTTGCAGTCTGAAATTGTGTAGTTCTGTAATTATTGTTCTTCTTGGAATAAAAATGCTCCGGACTAAGCTATTGCTGTAGACCATGGTGAGATCTAGACCTGGGACTGCTAGATTTTACTGTTTTGATACCCCAGAGGATCCCTTGAGGCCAAAAATACTAAACATTCAGATTCATATTTTACTAAAAAACACCCTTTATTACATTCCTTGTAGCAGCAAACCTAAGTACTCACTATACTTAATGTTAAAATGGGGAATAAATTTCACACGGTTAAGGGGGTATTTCAGTAAAAATACGACCAGGCAAAAGAAAATTAGCTTAATATGCAGGTATGCTGCGGCGGGTTATTTTTATTGTGATGTGGTTGCTGAAGCGAAATGCAGAGGTCTGATAAGAGTAAATGAATTTATGGTACCGTATATTTAATGTTAGGAAATTCTGGTTTGAAGAATGAGTAAGGTTAACTCCTTGATTTTTAAAGAGGTGGTGAAAAGATTAAATAGCCAAATAAATAAGTGTTGATGACCAATGAAGAAGAAGCACAGGATTGAAAGACATGAAGGAAGTTATTGGATGAATCCAAATGCCTTCTTTGATAAGTGCCTGTTCAAGTAAGTATTTTCCTCTTACATTTAGTAAATTATTCTTCATCAATTTTAAATGCATAAAATTAATGTTTGTTTATGTTAACAGACTGATAGCCCTAATCCAGTGTCGCAGGCAAACAAACGCGGTCGAGGTAAAGGGAAGACAAGTTCCGAGCCGGAACCTAAGAAACACTTTTTGAGTGTGCCCAGCAGCAATAACTTACGACCTCTAGACTCGTACTACTACGGCACCAAGCCTGGGGCAGCTCAGATATTGGCCAGTCAGAAACATTTCGACCTCAACATGAAGGTGAGTCTGTGATACAACCGATTACCTAAAAATTACATTTGGTTGAGGCTAGAAATGGTCAATCACAGACGCAAACAATAGTTATACATACATCTATCTATGATGAGTTTGATTTCTCCGCACCTATTGGATCTATTTCACTATATCGTTCATAATTTTCTTGCATTTTTATCTTTCGATTTATATTTATATCCACAACAATGGTGCGATTTCTGTTTTCATACATAAACTCAGTTTCAAGTACAGAATATTTATAAATAAGCTTTGTAATTTTTACACCTTGTTACCTCTACCACATAAAATCTACAGCTAAAATATGATTCATCAAATAAAATAGGCAGTCTTAAGTTGTAAAGTAGTTTTGTTTGTTTGCATTACAATATGGTAAAACATTCCTGGTGGCACGCGATTAGTTAGCTTTCATTGTTTAGTGAGATTTTGTTCACCATAGTTAATCATCCAATCTGATATCGTTGTGATTTCTACCTTTAGGCGTTCATGAAGAATCGTTTGTAATAATGTGGTATGTGTTGCAGTGTGGAATGTGCAACGTGATGGTGAAGGACAATCTCCACATGATGCGTCACTTGGTGGGGCACGCCTTCAACGAGGGCTCGTACACGTTCTCCGACAACTCGCCACAGTGTCGCTACTGCCTCAAGGATTTCATCTCCGATTTCGCTCTGCAGACTCATGTGGAAGAGGTGGGTCTCTGATGTAGTTAAAATTTTGTTCCATTACTCCAGATCCAGATTATGATCCATTAAATAAATTTTTTTCTATTGTTTTTTTTCACTAAACAAATTGCCGAACGATGAAATGGTACTACAATTATTCTAAACGGCTTGTTCAAAAAAGTCTTTGTGTTGAAGAATATTGTTTAAAAGTTTAATTGTTGTTTCAGTCGCACGAGAAAGGCTCTTTGCTGTGTCAGATCTGTCGAGAAGCCAACCGTGATCGCACCACGCTGATCCTCCACATGCATAAGAACCACTGTGAGCAGGAGCTGCCTTACCGCTGCGGCATCTGCGACTACCGAGCGTCTCAACACAATCTGGTGGTCGATCACTTCCATCAGGTATGTACTTTCCCGGTTGTTAGATCGATCACGGATGAAGAGGACTTGGTCCTATAACAGCCTCAGTCCGGTGGAGTTTCGGCTACCTGGACTGAAATAATACAACATTTTTTATCCTTGATGAAATTTAGTAAAAACCCAACTAACCGAAACAAAGGTGGCGATGCAGTGTCAGAAAACGTATTGTTTTATCTAAACAATGATAGGAATTCAAATGTTGGGTCTATTCAAAGAGATATATTACAGTTGTTTGTGTTATTTTTAACGTTGCCATCTTAAAATCCACAGTTGTACACTCAAAATCTTATTTCATAAAATAGTTGGGGGTTGTTTTCTGAACTTTATCTATATTACGGTATGAAATCCTAGTTGTCGTCTGCTCCATTACATTCTTTTGGCCAAGCCGGACCACTCACAGTGGGCATTTCCTATTGCCTTCCTCATTTTCTAATTTATTTGAATTTTAGTGATGGTTTAAGTTTAACAAGTTGTGGTTAAAAGGATTTTTATTGCATACATATGTTTTATTACTGTATAACTAATTGAATATCAGTAGTTTATAACAACAACAATGTTGGTTGCTGCAGTTTCACAAGAACACAGACAAACTACAATGTCCGTTCTGCCTGAAGATTGTTAACCTGCAAACTGTTGACGGCCGAAGGATCACGCAGAATCAGTATTTCTTCATAAACCACATCCAGGTAAGTGCTGTCATAGGCTGTTGGATACAGGGTTTGCATTCCGTCCATATAAACCAGCTTTAACTAATTTCTTTCTTCAAAAACATGGTTATGTGAGCTACGGAGATTTTGCAAACATTCTATTTTCTAATTTTGTCAGTTTTGTCATTTTCAATTGACGTTAGATAAAAGATGCTCTATTCAACAGTAAGTTGACCATTTAGTTTGTCTTTGTTAAAAATTAAGTGTAACAGAAAATAGTCAACAGCTTGCTCTGTCAATTCAAATAATTTATTTCTTCTTATATTGGCAACAACCTCAACATTGGAATATGATTTTTACTTCTCCCCAAAATCAAAAGGTTAACTTATAGGTCATTAATTAACTTATAGGAACACCTTTTATAAAATATTCTTCTTGAAATCTTCACTTTTAGGCTTGCTTTTTGTCCTATCTACTTGTATTGTGTAAAGTTTTTTGGTGTAAGATGTGCGTTCTGGTTTAATTATCTTTTTCTCTCTTCTAGAAACATCAACGGAAGACACTGGCTCGCAAGTGTCAAAAATGTGTGCTCTGGTTTGTACATAAGGATCTCATAAAGGAGCATTACAAGAAGGACCATACGAGCTGCAAGGAATTGCCAGGTACTGAACATTTTACTCTTCTCAATGGTGTTGAAAAACTTAATGAGTTATAGTTTAAATTCCTGAAACTGACCCCCAAGTTATAAAATTAACTTGTAAAATTCATATTTATCAAAATGGAGCCATTTTCCCTAACTCTTTGAGTCTTTGTCTGCTCGGGACAAAGCCCTCCAGAGTACGAAATGTTGTGTGTTGTGATTGACTTGAAAACTTTAATTTTTTGTCACGTATTATTTCCCCTTCCAGCGTTATTTCACTTGTTTGGGTACTAAGACGTTACAAAAATAATATGAATCTCAGTAAACAACCAAGCATTTACTATTAATTATTAGTACGACACGGTCAGCGTTATTTCACTAGCTCATTCTAACGGTTTAGAAAACGTTACAAAAATAATAGGGTATTCTCAGTAACATGTTACCAAGGTAATAGGTGAATCTTCAGTAATAGTGTTATTTATCGTATTACGCTATATAATACCCACCTCTACGTTACACCGTGTGTTTGACAGGCGTAGTGAGAGAGCCAGTGAACGGACTGGACGTGGTGATGATGCCGACGCCCCTTAACAGCCAGCCGCAGTTCAAGAGTCAGGGAAACAAGAACAAACCCACCTTCTCTACCACTTTCACTATCAACAGCTTCCAGAGGCTGGGCATCAGTGGAGTCAAAGAGGACGCAATCTGCTGCGAGTGTGAGGGCGAAATGCTGCAGGACGACCATTATCCGTGAGTAGACGCATATTTAGCACAAACTAGAAATATTATTCCCAACAGAGTCCCGCTAAATTGAATGTCTGGGTACCCGAACTACCTATTAGCAAATCTAATTTTATAATAATAGTTGTTTATTTACCTTTACTTCTGTTTCATTTGCCTCATGGTCAAGTAGTTAACAAGTCCAGATCGAGAAATATCTTGTCGTAGTCAGTCACTTGGACGTCGTCATACTCACAGAAACACGTACATTGTTACAACAAATTAAAACAAATTGTTCTCGTAGATGGAACACTATGATGAAGTCAAAGCAACTGACTACGACAAGATATTTCTCGACTTGCTAACTACGTGACCGTGACGCAACTAGCGTCGAAACGATAGTTGTAGATATTACAACTATCTTTGAAATTGAACTGGGACGAAAGTAAAGGTAAACAAACCACTATTTTTATTTATTTGTCTCACCAGTTCAGAGGCAAGCCTTAACAATGAGTAAAGCAAATCTAGAATATACTTTTCAGTTGGATTTATCTTTGTGGGTCTTCATATCTTGCGTGTGTCCATTCATCCTCTTTTTGAGGTTCTGTGTTGAGCTACATTGTTCTTGGTGAGTGAGGTTTTGATTTATGATATCAGTCAGCATGTTGTATTGTTACAGGGGTTTCTTGTCTTGCCTGAAGTGTAGATTCTCTACTTGCTGCAGCAAAGCCATGAATGAACATTTCGTCGTCTATCACCAGTCAGAGGCCAAGCCACAGTACAATGTTGGTAAAGCCATTATTTTGACAAAACCACTGTACTGCGTTTGCGGCTTCTCCAGTCAGAGCGGAAACAATATGGGTGATTATAACATTTTTGAGAAATTATATGAGTTGGAATGTAGGAATTAAGATTTTTCTTGAAATAATGATTTTTGTACCTAAACAGGATTTGAATAAGAACCTAACATACTTTTCTAAGGCACTCTTTTTCCATTGTCTTCTCCTTCTAGTTGAGTTTTCAGTAGTTCTTAACCAAAAAGTAAACTACGTAAGATTATATTGTTGTGTTTTATATCTGTGTCTCAGACTATTTATAAATCAAACGTGGCTAAAGCTAATTGTTTTAATTATTTTTTATGATGCTTGTTGTATTATCTGTTAGGGATTTAAATAAGCTTTTGAATGGTAAAAAAATCCAAACCCATTGAGGTCCAACGTAGCCTAAGTCCTCAGAAACAAAACCTGTCCGTCTCAGATTAGCTTAATAAAGCTAATCTGACAACCTGAAGATTTTACATTGCTTGACTTAAAAAGTCAAAAAGTAACTGTTTCGATCTTGAGAAACATCGTCTTTTTGATGGTTCTAAAATGGGCTCAGCTGTTCTTGATCATTGGGAATTTAATCAATGAGTCTGCCTAAAGAAACAGCTTATCTTAATCAGTAACAAAGCTGTCCAAGTCAACTTACACTCATTTACATGCATATTTGATTTAAAATACATCCAGTTTCATCCCTATCTAATATAGTGATTCATTGAAGATTCTTAACCACTAAACTAAAACACCCGTTCTGAGTCTTCATTTGAGTAGAGTTTTACTGCTGTGTTTATCAACTAATTGAAACAACTGTGTACGTCAGCTCGTCACTTGGCGCTGTGCAAGCGCAAGTCAGCCTATCCAACCCCAGAGCGAGCGGCGCAGTGTACACTGCAAGGCCAGTCCGCCAGCTTCCCTCCGCTAGTGACACTCGACGAGGAAGAGGCGGAGGACCACGAGGAGAAGTGGATGCGCGCCTTCGCACCTCCTCGCGCAGACTCTGCGGACAGCGACAAACCAAGTGAGTCCGGCCGCATCCACTTACAGTAGCTTACGGCTTTGACTACCGATAGAACTATATGTGCACATGTTAAGGTTATCACCAGTGTTGGAATAAAAAATGGACATAGTTGAATTAGGCTACCCAATTGAACAGTGCTGATGTATTATTTATCTAAAATACGTCAACTTTTTTAGTTAAACTAATAGGAAAACTTATTGTATGCATTTTTTATGTTAACTCGACTATCTCAGCAAAGAAATTTAAGGGAGAAAATAGACGCACTCTGTGAACGGCTAGTTCAACTATGTACTTTTTGACGAATAATAGGCCATTTCTGATTCATATGATGGGACATCTTCAGGATCCAAAAGTCAATGCTATGAATATTCATACTTGTAACAATTTTGTGGAGGTGGATAGTTTTTAAGAGATAAGGAAATTTACCAGTGAAGATCAAGTTTCCCAATTTTAGGGTTCCGGAACAAAAATTAATCTCAAGTGGAACAATATGTAGGATAAAAAGATGATATAAGATCCCACTTCCCCAAAACCTTGTGGAAAACATGGTTTTACATATTCTAGTGGAAAATATCCCAGGCAATTTCTTAAAAATAGGCTACAACGATTTGGGATTGAGGTTAAAAAATGGCGTAGTTTTATTACCATTGTACAATTGCTTATCTACTGATTTTGATCAAATCGTCATATTACAAACTGTATTTTGAAGAGATAGAGAGTGTTCAGCTAGCTTATCTGAGAAAAAATAGTCTAAGGGTTAATAGAATTTAAAAATAAAAGAAGACAAAAAATTACACTGATATTTTGTCATAATATAGGACTTCTTCAGTGAGCAACAATGATGATATTTTGATATTTTTATTATCCTTTTATGCTAAAGTGTTTTTGGTGTGTGAATAGTTATTTCAAATAATATTTTCAATGCTACAAACCTACAGACTATAATTTCATGTGGTATTTTGTTTTGAATGTGAATGTACACAGAGAAGTCAAATACAGAGGATACATTCAACAGTACACTTAGGTGATGTCTAGCACTAGTCGCTGGTGTCTAGAGTAAATTCTATTCGTTGTCCCCTCCCACTCTCCTTTCCCCTCACCATCACATGCTACAGTACTCTCACTGTAGGAAGACAACTGCTGTACAAAAATCCCCATTGTCGTTCGGGATCTTCATTGCTCGGTACAAGAGCATTTCTGCCTCACCATATCGGAGCTAAAAGCGCACGGTTGTCCCATATGCTTGTATCCTCTGTATCTTACTTCTCTTTGATGCTTAATACAATTTATAACAATATGATTAATCAAACCTTGTAATTGTGCAGTAGTGACTCCGTCAACAAGCGGAGACCCTCCTTCAATGCTCAACCTGTTGGGTTTGGTCAGGAAAACTTCATCCGACGAGGAAATTATGGAAATTGACGACAAATAGATTAGCACCAAGGTAAATAACAGTAGTTGATTTAGTGATGGATTAGGTGAGTTTTAAATGATGTATGAAACACTGTGATTCTGATTCTTGGTTCTTGATTCTTACTGCAATAGTGGACGCGACATAAGAGAAGCTTAAAATAAGTCATCTTTTCAGTTTTACTTTGCTAAAAGAGTTACATCAGCTCAATCTGTTGGTTGCTCACTTCAACTAAGCCCATTTTGATTTTAAAACTTGTGACAACTTTAACTTGCGGATGGAATATTTAGTTCTATCAATAATGCAGGGTTTTACCACAAAGAATAATAATTGGTTTTATTCCAAAAGCTCCACTTTGAAACCTTGGATGCCCAGGTAGCTAACCTCCTTGCCTAAGCCTACACATTAGCCTGGTCATGATATAACATGAAATTCCAGCCCATTTGGTTTAGTAATTTGTATACATTGAGCTGGGAAAAACACACAGACTTGCAAACAGTGGTGGTTCTGGGACCTTGTCAATGGGGGGGGGGGGCTACCAGGGGGTTAGGGGGTGTAGAACCCCATTGTTCTAAAAAAAAAATTGTTCCTTAAGCCGGTGACTTACAAAAGCCATTTTTAACATCTGGAACAAAAACATTTTTAGGGTGAAATGTATGTTTAAATTGATTTTCTAGGGTCCAATGGTAGGGGGTTTTAGCCCTTATAGCCCCCCTCCCCCTGGAACCAACCGCTACTGCGTGCAAACATACAGAAACCATCTCCTCTTTTTTTAAACTTCTGTACAGAGCCACAATCAACTCTTAAAACTTTGTTTCAGGTTTAAAGAAGAGAAATGCCGTCTTCAAGAAAACTATTTCAATACTGTAATTAAGTGATATTTTGTGTATTTTTTACTGTCATGTACTTTTAGTATTATAATTTTTTGCACAGTATAGTAAATATGAAATATAAATAAAAGCTTTAGCTTGTATGTGATGTGGTGTAAGTGTTAGTGGGGCGAAGTGAAAACAACAACAATCCTTATACAGAAGTGAATAAATAAAGTATTTGTGTTCATGAACCACCTGTTATATAATATTAAGTGTAAATATGTCAATAAAAAAGATGCTCTAAAATGTTTTTCAATTTATAGTTGTTTTTAGCTTTTGCAATTCAACTAAGTCAACAAATGACTGTATACAAATCTGATAAAAACTAACATAACCTTTATTTTATTTCATCCAAAGGGTTTCACTCATCAACATTCTTTTGATTTAAAACCACTTCTTCAGATGCTTTATGTTACTTTATTCCCTAATTTCTAGACAACAATGTGTACAGTCTAGTTTTGTATTGAAATGTGTAAGAATATCGTCAAGTATCTAACTTAACAAAAAACATTTGCATATCTATTTGTATAAACGCAACTAGTATACTACAGTGTTGTATATAACAAGTTAGTAAGTAAAACTGTATTTTATGACGTTTCATTTTTATAAAACTCCACCATATAGTCCTTTAGTCAACTTATAAGAGAAGCACTTCATATATCGGCATTGACTATATACATAGTCAATGATATCGGTCAGTGTTATTATTGGTAGTTAATTACACCTATAATAATTTTGCTTTTGTATATTGTCTGATAAAACTTAGTATGTGACTTCTTTGATTGTTTATCTCTTCATGTTTCAAATTAACGAAATTATTTTTGTGATTGGTTTTCTACTTATGAAAGAGACAAAAAATAGCTTGACTGTTAAGTTTACATACGTCACCTGGAATAATTTTGCTTTTGTATATTGCCTCATGGGAAATTAGGGTTATTGTATGTGACTTTGTTATCTCTTGCTGTTTGAATAAATGCAATTGTTTTTGTAGTTGATTTTATTCATTGATTCAAACCTCATGAAAGAAGAGTGAAGAATCCAACAGACGCTTATTGTAACCACACATGAAACAGGTCATAAAAGGCTTAATTTCGTATTTAGCAATAAGATGCAATTAGTATGACTGCTTGTTGCAATATCAGAAATTAATGATTCATTTAAAGGCCTTCAAAAAAGCATGTATCGCTGGTTTTAAATGGTTGTAGCTTATTGTTGCATTCTTGTTAACTTTTCAAAATTTCCATGTTTAATATACACTAACACAATCGTAATAGTCTAAATGATTGAATCACTTACTAAACAGCTGCTTGTTTGCATCAGCTAAATTTAAAACAAGTTTGAACTCATTTTGAGAGGTTATCTTTACATGAAAAGTTCTGTTGTTTTATAGCTTTGTTTGCTTAAATAAATGGTGTGATATTCCAACAAATTTAGTTTATCACAGGGCCAAAAAGTGTCTTTTCAACCTTTGCCCATTTTTTAACTCGGCTTCGCCTCGATCGAAAAACTTGAACTCATATCGAAAAGAGTCACTTTACGCCCTAGTGATGAAATATTATTAAAATCCTCACCTCAGAACTTTTAAAGCCTGCAGCCCTAGGTCAGTCCTATCGAAGCAGGAATAGCTACATACAAATCCTCAGAGCTGTTGCTGTTACTGTTTAATTTATCATGTGCAGTTAAATACATATGCATTATTTAGCTTAAAAACTGCAACAACAAGAGAAGAAAGTGTAAAATGTAAAAAGTATAAGTAAATAAAAAGTTATAACAGGTTACGTACCTTGACGTCCACAATTCCTTAGTCGGTATCCGTTGACTATAGTTTCGACTACTACGTAGTCATTATCGAAACTATAGTCAACAGATACCGACTAAGGAATTGTGGACGTCAAGGTACGTAACCTTTTATAATTGATTACCAATCTTGGAAGGCTTCAACATGAATAAATAAATAGTAAAAAATTAAAACCTACAGTGTGGTTATCAAAGTATTAAAACTGAACATTTCAGACCTTTTATTCATTAATCATTAACCTTGTTTAGTACTGTATTAGTATTGATAAGCCGGGGTTTCCGAGTGAGTTTCAATTCGCTCCGCTTCTAGGTAAACAGTACAATTAAATTAAGACGAAGAGGAGAGCAGACCCCGCACTTTGCGCCTAGGAAAATCCAGCTTTACTTGAGAAATTCTTCACCTAGTTACCTGTAGGAAAAGATATAATGCACATGCCTGTACAAATGGGCTTGTGGCAGGATTACTTTATTGTAAGCTGATAGAGTATCAGTAAAAGTGAAAGCTATCAGGGTTTTTTCTATAGAAATTGTTTTGCCCTTTGCCTTAGGCAACTAACCAAGGGAGATAAAACAATATTACAAATTCTTCATCTATGCTAAGGTCTAGACTGTCTTTATTAGTTTGTCTGATTAGTAATTTTATCATAAGATAAATAAACAGCATCTGACACATAATTTCTCCCATTAGCTTGTTAAAACCAGGTTAAAACACCTTATTAATGGCCAAAAGTAGTGGGGATGTTTTATGGGTCAAGAAATAAGAAGAAACTTATTTTTTAAATCAAGAAATAAGAAAAAACTTTTGATCCTCAATTTTACAGCATTGGGGGTTGCAACCATTTGAAATATAGTTAAAATAAGGAACATAATATAATACATTTAAATACAAATCTTTGTGAAAATGTGATTGTCCATTTTTCTAAGAAAGTTCTCCTTTAAAAATCTTAATTTAAAAAATTGAAAAAAAAATACTTGGGATGCCATGGGATTTTACCCACATGCCAAATTTCGTCAAAAATGGATCACAGGTGTAGCTCTGCTGGTGTGCTCTAGCTCTGCATACATGGGCGTCCTCTAGCTTTTACATAGGGGCCACACTGAAAAAAACTTTGTTAGTGTTTTTTTTAGTGTGGCCTTGGCTGGGGGCATGGAATAAATGTATTGAAAGGGGGTCCACCCCCAGAAAATCTTCACAATTTAGGTCGGTTTTACACATTTTTGTACCTAAATTTGCTTTGTCAACTTAACGTGTTTACAGCAAAATCTAAAAATGTGAATATCGTAGGGGCTTAAAGGGAGGGCTCAAATAAGCAAGCCCCCTCCCCTAGTATCTTGATGGACGCCCATGTGTACACATATCAGTTTGCAAACCAATTTTTGGGGTTCAGAGTATAAAATATTTTATAAATATGTTGAGAGAATAAAATACTTGTAAGATTTAAAACGAAAAAACGTGGGGTGCATGCTAATTTACAATTAACTTCACCTGTTTTAAATTTGACAAAATTTTAGTATTTACAGCTGACTTAAATTAATTGATATAGGCCTATTTACATTCTTTGAAAATGTAAACATGGAAAATTTGGAAGCCCATGGGGCGTAGCCCAAGGGAAATATGAAAATTAAATGATATAATATTGCATTGTCATCCATTTGTGAGCTATGTTTCAAGTTTGAAGTCTCTATAGCTGTTTCATGTTTTAAATAAAAACACAATTGAAGTTTCAATACTATTTATTATAAATTGTATTTAACATCGACAGAAATACATTTAGGCTGCAGTTAATGAGCCGACATATTTTATTCTGAATCGGAAATCAAATACACTTAAAAGAGAATACACAAAGACCAAAGAGTAATACCTCTAAACATGGACTTCACTATATACATATATCAACATCCCCTCTCTTTTACAAAATTGAAAATTTAACTTTCCAAAATACAACTTTAACATTTTCCTTTCAAGTCTAACAAAATATACACCAAAACCTAATCATAAGACAACCGCTTTGGATTTCTTATCAATCTACCCTTTCGGCTTACACAACCATCGAAACTTTTAACAATTTGTTCTTCTGATGAAATTCTAGGAGTTAGGCCTACTGGTCTTTGAAACAACACTGGACTACTTTGCGGAGAAATAAGGCTATTACCATTAGTACCTGACAAACTGATTTGTGAATCTGACTTAGGACTTGTTTCAGGCATTATGGTTTCATTACCTGTATCATTAGACAAATCTGGCCTAATCATCTTCCTATTTCTTACAAACATTTTATCTTTCTCATCAGACAAAACATAGGATCTGGGGATTCTATTTTTTTCTACTACTTTTCCTGATGTCCAAGGTGAATCAACAGTTTTCTTAAAATACACTTTGTCTCCTACATTTAAAGAGGGTAACTCTTTACTATTTCTATCATAGTACTTTTTAATACAATCTTTTCTCTTGTCTGACAAAATTTTGTTAGGTTTTGTTACTTTAGGCTGCAAACTACTTTTAGACAGTGGCAATAGGCCATTGAGTTTTCTACTAAACATTAACTCTGCCGGTGAAGGTTGATATTGTTTACTAGTGTTACGATAACTTAACAATGCAAGATACACATCAGACTTAGATTCTTTTGTTTTCTTCAGTAAATTTTTCGCTATTTTGACACCTGACTCAGCTTGACCATTAGATTGAGAGTGTTTTGGACTAACTATCACTAGCTTAAAATCGTACAACACAGAAAACTCGTGAAAAGCGTTAGAAGTGAATTGACTTCCTGAATCAACTACTAAAGTAACAGGAATTCCATGGCAAGCAAATATTGATTTGCATTTCTCGATTACAGTTTTTGAAGTAATGTCTGACAAAGATACTAACTCAATATATTTAGAATAATAGTCCATTAGTACAAGAAAATATTGGTTATCAAACTCAAAAATGTCACCTGACACTTTATGCCAAGGCAAATCTGGTACATCATGAAACAACAACGGTTCTTTTGCATTCATAGGCTTAAACTTAGCACAAACACTACATTTATTTACAAAACTTTCAATGTCCTTATGTAAGGTGGGCCAATACAATAAATTGCGTGCCCTAATCTCACATGTTTGTTTTCCTACATGGCCACAATGCAAACTTTCAAGCATCATTTTATGAAGTGAACTAGGTACAACAATAGATTGATTTTTGAAAACAAGATCATCTACAACATGAAGATCATGTTTAATACTCCAAAATGGTAAAACCATATTACTGACTTCAGGCTTTTGAGGCCAACCTTTAGATATATACATCTTTAAAATACCTAGACATTCATCTGAACTGGTTTTTTCTCTTAGCAGGTTTAGTTTACTTTCAGACACGGGAAGATAAGATTTTAACATATTTACCTCACAAATGATGTCCTCATCTAAAACATCAATATCTTCTTTACCTTCTACTGGAAGTGCTGCACGTGACAGTGTATCAGCTATATACATCAATTTACCTGGCTTGTATACAACAATTAAGTCATAGCGTTGAACTTTTAGCATCATTCGCTGTAATCTTAAAGGAGCAGCAGTAATGGGCTTCCTAAACAAACATTCTAAGGGTTTGTGATCAGTTTCAACAGTTACTTTCCTAGAGAAAATAAATTGGTGAAATCTAGTGCAACCAAAAACTATGGCTAGCATTTCTCGTTCTATCTGACAATAATTTGACTGAGTCTTAGTGAGCGCTCTAGACGCATACGCAATTGGATTATCACCACATAACAATACAGCACCTAAACCAGTTGAGGAACAATCTACAGACAATGTTATTGGCTTACTTGGGTCATAATATGATAAAACAGGAGGAGATACTAACAAAGACTTTAAAGTCAAAAATGCATTTTGTTGTTCGGCATTCCATTGAAATAAAACATCTTTATGTGAAAGAACTCGCAAAGGAGATGTTACAGTCGAATAATTTGGAATAAACTTTGATAAGTAATTGGTAACTCCTAAAAATCTTTCTAAGTCTTTACGATCTTTAGGTATTGGCATCTCCTGTACAGCTTTAAGCTTAGAAGGATCCGGAGTTAAACCATACTCAGTAAACCGATGACCCAAAAACAAAACTTCACTCTCAGCAAATTTACATTTCCTAGAGTTAAACTTAATATTAAAATCCTTAGCTCTTTTTAATACTTCCTTTAATCTTAAATCATGTGTTT